ATGTTTGGTTGGGCATATTTTCACCAACAGAAAAAAAAATCAGGTTAACCTCAAGACTAGAAGCAGAGAGAAACATGTTCTGCAAATAGCACTATGACCTTCAATCATAGCTCATTACTCATCTAGGTAATGATGCTGCCTCTTCAGTCTTTGCAGACATACCCTCATACAGACATACCCAGTAATCACTATTAATTGTCTCACTGTCCCAACTCACAGGCAGCAGTAGCAGTTTAATGTTTCTACTTTGATTCTTTGGAAGAGGAAAACTTTTTCCTAGTAAGGATTACTAACTCTAAGTAGGTAAAATCAATTAGAGTATACATAAAATGAAAAAGTTACTTTTATTTATTATGAATATTTTAACAGTACAGGACTGGAACACTGTTAATGAAAATTTAAAATAGAAAACCAAAACTTTCTTCAATAAATAAGAAACAGGGAGTCTGTATTCTAAGCTATTAATGGAATTAGGAGGAAAAAAAGAAAATGATGAAAAAGAAAGGAAGAAAGTAGAAATTTTCTGGCAATAATGTTCTAGGTCTTCTCACATTCTCCCTACAGCTAAAATCTTGTCTAAGAGAGCCCTAGAACCTAGCACAGAGTATGTCAGACCTAACTCCCATCTGCTAATAAAACCTTACCTTTCATGTCCTCCTTACCATCATATATCTGCTTTGAGGCCTCTCAAGAGTTAAAAATGTTAGGACTGAGGATTCCTGGTAGGAATCTTTTATAGGTATGTATGATTTTGGTTTTCTTCTTATGTATCTGTATAAATATATGACCAGCTATGTTATTCCATTCTTAAACCATCAGAGCAGAGCTTGTATTTTTAATACTCTTCATAATGTCTATGTAAATCTTTAGTCTAATAAGCCAGACCAAAAAAACCAGAATGTCATTACAAAGTTGTTGCTAATGTCTTTAAGCAGGGGAAAATAACATCCATGTGACCACAGATAAGTATTTACTGACTCATTCAGCAAGTATTTGTTGAGCTTCCACTGCATGCACCAAACACTAAAGTAAGGTACCGCTACAATGGTGAAGAAAACAGGCATGGTCTGTGGTCTCATGGAGAATACAGTCTCACAGGGCAGAAACCAAATTCTATCTATACACTCTTACTTTATTTAAGAAGCCCTGTTGGTTAAGCACTCAGCTGCTAACCAAAAGGCTGCTGGTTCGAACCCACCCAGCAACCCCATGGAAGAAAGACCTGACGATCTATTTCTGTAAAGATAACAGCTTAGAAAACACTATGGGCATTTCTACTCTGTCACATGGGGTCACTATGAGTCTGTATCAATTTGAGGGTACCTAACATTATGTTATTTACCTAAGAAATTGTGCTCTATATAAGTGAAATTTTCAGATAGCTTAGATTATTCCTTTCTACCATAAAACATTCAAATATTTGATGATGAAAAAATTTAAGCTACAATGCATACTTTCCATTTCTGGAAATGATATATAATTAACATACCTTAGCATTTTCTTAATGAACATTAATTATTGTACTGTGCTATGTGGTATCTTAAAAGATTACTACTATGTTTTTAGAGCTTTACTATTTTTTTTTTTATTATTCTTTTTAAGCATCTTATTAAAATTATAAGAAGCCCTGGTGGTGCAGTGGTTAAAACACTTGGTTGTGTACAGAGAGGTCAGTGACTTGAGCCCACCAGCGACTCCACAGGTGAAAGATATAAGGATATCCTTATAAAGATATTAAGATATAAGGATCTGCTTCTGTATAGATACATTACAGCCTTGGAAATCCTATAGGGCAGTTCTACTTTGTCATATAGGATAGCTGAGTCAGAAATGACTTGACAAAAGTGGGTTTGGTTTATTTAAAACTGTGGAGTATATCATGTAGATATAAAAGAGTATCTCTAGTAGACATGCTTTGAAAAAATGATCAATACATCTGAAAAAACAAGTCCAAGAGAGCCAAAACATGATCTTGAATATATCCCTCCTGAATTTAGAGATCATCTAAAGAATAGATTTGATGCATTGAACACCAACGACCGAAAGCCAGAAGTATCAGAGGATATCAGGAATGTTACCCAGGAAGAAAGCAAGAGATCACTAAAAAGACAAGAAAAGAAGAGAAGACCAAAGTGGATGACAGAAAAGACTCTGAACCTTGCCCTTGAGCGGAGAATAGCTAAAGCAAATGGAAGAAATGAAAAGGTTAAAGGGCTGAAGAGAAGATTTCAAAGAGCAGCTTGAGTAGACAAAGCCAATTACTATAATGAAACGTGCAAAGACCTGGAGTCTGAAAACCAAAAGGGAAGAACACGCTCGGCATTTCTCAAGCTGAAAGAACTGAAGAAAAAATTTAAGCCTCGAGTTGTAATATTGAGAGATTCTATGGGCAAAATATTGAATGATGCAGGAAACATCAAGAGAAGATGGCAGGAATACACAGAGTCACTGTACCAAAAAGAACTGATTGATCTTCATCCATTTCAGGAAGTGGCATATGATCTAGAACCAATGGTAATGAAGGAAGAAGTCAAAGCTGCAATGAAAGAACTGGCGAAGAACAAAGCTCCGGGAATTGATGGCATAGCGATTGAGATATTTCAACAAACAGATGCCCCATTGGAGGCACTCACTCAGTTATGACAAGAGATTTGGAAGACAGCTACCTGGCCAACTGACTGGAAGAGATCCATATTTGTGCCCATTCCAAAGAAAGGTGATCCCACAGAATGTGGAAATTATAGAACAATATCATTAATATCACATGCAAGTAAGATCTTACTGAAGATAATTCAGAAACGTTTGCAGCAGTATATCGACAGAGAACTTCCAGAGGTTCAAGCTGGATTCAGAAGAGGACGTGGAACAAGGGATATCATAGCTGTTGTCAGATGGATCTTGGCTCAAGGCAAAGAATACCAGAAAGATGTTTACTTGTGTTTTATTGACTATGCAAAGGCATTTGATTGTATGGATCATGACAAATTATGGATAACACTGAGAAGAATGGAAATTCTCAAACACTTGATTGTACTCATGAGGAATCTGTACCTTGACCAGGAGGCTGTCATTCGAACAGAACAAGGGGACACTACATGGTTTAAAATCAAGAAGGGAGTGTGTCAGGGTTGTATCCTTTCTCTACACTCATTCAATCTATATGCTGAGCAAATAATCCGAGAAGCTGGACTATATGAAGAAAAACATTGGTATCAGGATTGGAGGAAGAATCATTAACAACCTGAGATATGCAGACGATACAACTTTGCTTGCTGAAAGTGAGGATGACTTAAGACACCTACTGATGAAGGTTGAAGAATACAGTCTGCAGTATGGATTACGTCTCAATATAAAGAAAACAAAAATCCTCACAACTGGACCAATGAGCAGCATCACAATAAATGGAGAGAAGATTGAGGTTGTCAAGGAATTCACGTTGCTTGGTTCTACAATCGATGCCAACGGAAGCAGCAGTCAGGACATTAGACAACGTGTAGCATTGGGAAAGTCAACTGCGAAGGAACTCTATCAAGTGCTGAGGAGCAAGGATATCTACTTGAGGACTAAGGTGTGCCTGACACAAGCCATGATATTTCCAATCGCCTCGTATGCATGTGAGAGCTGGACAATGAATAAGGAAGACCGAAGAAGAGTTGATGCTTTTGACTTGTGGTGCTGGCAAAGAATGCTGAAAGTACCGTGGACTGCTAAAAGAACTAACAGATCTGTCCTGGAGGAAGTGCAGCCAGAATGCTCCTTGGAAGCAAGAATGGCCAGACTTCGTCTCACCTATTTTGGTCATGTTGTAAGAAGGGACCATTCCCTGGAGAAGGATGTCATGCTTGGTAGGGTGGAGGGTAAATGAAAGAGGGGGAGGCCTTCAACGAGATGGATTGACACGGTGGCTGCGATGATGGGCTCAAGTATAGCAGGGATTGTGGGGCTGGCGCAGGATCAGGCAGTGTTTCGTTCTGCTGTGCATGGGGTCGCTATGAGTCAGAAACGACTCGACGGCACTTAACAACAACAACAAATGTATCTGCTTTATAGAATTTTCTTTTTTTTCCTCTAAATCACTTTTTGTGTTGGTTACATTCAGAAATTCTATCCCAATGGAAATTTATTAATCTATTTTAGATTAGGAAGCTGAGGATCAGGATCATTAGGATCATCTTCTTAAGCAAGACTTGACAAATTCTTGTGGGGTTGCCATGTGTCACATTCAACTCAATGGCAATGCTCAATGGATCAAGAAAAAGTCTGAGGGGTTTTGAGTGAAGTCAAAAAGTACAGCATTACTGTACCTATACTGGGGCATCTACTTTATCAGTTTAAAGATCTTCTGAATTTAATTCCTGTTACTTAAGGTTGTATAGATGACTGGGAATGTCAAAGAGATGGCCTTATAAATCAGGGATTAAAATGCATCTGAAGGATTCAGAGATTCAAAGATCCTAAGGTGACATTAAAGATCATCATATTTAATCTATTCACTTCCTAAGAAAAATGAAGTCCAAAGTTTGAATAACTTGCCTTAAGTCACAAAGCTAGTTAGTAGCAGAGCTAAGGCTAGTTTCAAATCAGTCAGATCAGTGATTTTCAACTGGGAGTGACTGTGCACTCCAGGGGACATTTGGCAATATCTAGAAACATTTCTGTTTGTCACAATGGGAGGGTACTACTGTTATCTAGTGCATAGAAGATAGAGATGCTGCTAAACTTCTTACAAATATACAGGGCATCTTCTCAGAACAGAGAATTATTTGGTCTAAAATGTTAACAGTGCCATAGTTGAGAAAACTTGACTGAAAACTACACTTCACCAGATCTACGTAATCAACTTGACACTTAATACAAGCATTCTGAGAATACAAGCATTCTGAGAATACAAGTGTTAAAAGAGATTATTTCCCTGTAATCAAACATTCAGGCAGATGTAAGGATCTATTTGATATCCTGTAAGATAGAATATGACAGATAAAAGAATATAACATACTCACCAAGAGCCAAAACCCAAGGGTCTCCTATCATAATCAGGCAGGTCTGGAGCAATCTTACAAGCTTGTATGTTCAAGTATTTAAATATGTGGATTTTGCCTTTTATACATATCTAAATAAAGTAACATATAAATGTAACCAAATTATTACTTATCTGAAGTATTTGTTCCTTTTTATTATAATCAGCTTCTTACTTAATGTAAATTAAGAACACAAGGCATTTCTTTGAAATACATATGGTAATATTAAAAAACTAATATGCTTGCTATAATAAATTATTTCATCCAGTGTTATTTTTAATGTAAATATACATTTTTCTTTTCTAGTCATTAACAGCTCTCAGTAACATGTAAAAAATAATTTGTGATTACAAACACTATTAGAATACCAAATAAACCTATCACACTGATAAGTTTTGTACAGTGAGGGACCTAAAGCATATTCTTCCTTCTCCCCACAGATTATACCAGCAACGTTTGCTTTTAGGAATTGACAATCTTGTACAATCATGTTTTCTATTCTTGCTTTCTGTAGGGGAGAAGAGCAGGAAATGATTAAATATTAAAATTATGTATTTTTGCTGTAATATTTAAATTATGTATTTTTGTTGATACCTTTTGATTTTTTTTTTCTCAGAAGTTAAAACATAAATTCTTTAGGATTATGAGATCCTTCTGTATTTATTAAATTTTACTAATAAAGCTTTATAGTTACCATACAGATTACCATATGCTTGTGTAAGATCATCAACAAATTTCAGAGTACAAAAAAGCTATGGTGAAAAAAATGGGTTAGTCAAAATTTAGTAGATTGCAGGATGTCTACAACCTACAGATAAACCTCCCTTATAATTATTTTATGGGAGCTCTGGTAGCATAGTGGCTAAGACACTTGCCTGATAACCAGACGGCTGGCGGTTCAA